AACCATGGCAGTGGTCAGATCTGCAACGCTCCAGAAGGTGCTGAGAATCTCTGGATCTAGATAGGCCACCATCGGAACCTGAACTTCGCCACGTTTAGTATTAGAACCATATCTAGTGAGAAAAATTTGGCTATACCCTTTGAGGAGCTAGAGGGTGTTAAATGGGATATAATAGGGCTCAGTGAGGTAAGGAGGACAGATGAGGGCTATATGGTTCTACAAAATGGGCACACCCTCCGCTATCAGGGTTTGGCTGACAGAAGAGAACTGAGAGTGGGGTTCCTAATTCACAGATACATATCTGGCAACATAGAGGAATACTACAGCGCTAATAAAAGGGTGGTAACTATCGCAAATAAACTCAATAGGAGATACAAGATGAAGGTGGTACAGGCTTACGTGCCTACATTCAGCCATGATGACGCTTCAGTACAAAGCTTCATTGAAGACGTGGATCGGCAATAAATGAGGTAAAAGACAGTATACTATACTGATAGGAAACTTTATAGCAAAGTTAGGGAAGAAGCAGGCTGTAGACCAGGCAGCAGGAGGATATGGCATCGATACTAGAAATGCCAGAGGGGCACTACTGGTAAATTTCAGAGAACGCAATAATTTACGGATTTTGAATACCTCTAGCGAAAAGGAGGAAACCTTAAGTGGACATGAAGGAGCCCTAATGGCGAAAACACAACGAAAGAGACTTTTATAATGAGTACACATGCAGCTATTGTGCAGGATGCGGAATTGGTTGGCAAGGTACGATGCAGTGACCATTGAATGGTACGGTCTAGAGTTCGCCTACACTTGAAGAAGGAACGGCAGAAACTGATGCGCAAAAAGCCAATCAATGAGCTAGCACTGAGAAGGAAAGTGCAGGAATTTAAAGTCTTACTTCGACACAGGTACTCGGCTGTTATTGAGAAAACCAACCTTAGGGTAGATACAATGAATCATAATCTGATGAGTATAATTACGGAGTGTGCAGTGGAAGTAGGAGACATGGTAGTTAGACAGGACACTGGCAAGCTTTTCCAGGAAACAAACAAGCTGAATAAGAAGCGTCAAAACATGAGTCTTAAGTACAACAGACAAAGTAAAAATGACAGAGTTTTCAAAGTTCATTAATAAGCGTAAGGTATCCGTTGTAAGAAGGTATAACAAGGAGATAATTAAACACGCTCTGAAAAATGGAGGAAGCGTCAAAGCAGTGAACAGGACACTTGCGATAGGCGAAAATCAGATGTATGCACTGAGGGACAAAGGCAAAATAACTACCAATAAGGATAAATAGTCAAAATAGCGGAGGACTTTTACAGAGATCTGTACAGCAGCTGCGACAACCACGACCTTAATACTATAAAAGCTAGCAGTAACCCAGATGACACCCCACCAGCAATGATAGAAGTCAAATAACCTTGGAGAGCATGCAAAGAGGCAAAGCTGCTGGTGAGGGTCAGGTAACATGATATCTGCTGAAAGATGAAAGACAGATTGTGTTAGAAAACCTAGCCACTGTGTTTACGAGGTATCTCCTGACAGGAAAAGAACCAGAGTCTTGCAAGAATGCTAACATCACCTTAATACATAAGAAAGGAGATGACAAGGGCTTGAACATTTACAGACTGATCAGCTTCCTCTCTGTAGTATACAAGCTATATACAAGGGTAATTGCTAACAGAGTTAAGGAAACATAAGAAATCAATCAACCGAAGAAACAAGCAGGATTTAGAACAGGCTGCTCAGCAATCAACCACAATCATTCAATAGAGAAATGATCAGAATACAGCCAACTACCATAGATAGCCTTTATAATTTACGAGAAGGCGTTTGATTCAGTAAAAATATCAGCAGTCATTCAGACACTGCGGAATTGGGGTGTCGATGAAGCATATATAAGCATTCTGGAAGAAATCTACAGGCGATCAACTGCTGCCATAGTGCTTCATAAAGAAAGCAACCGAATACCAATCAAGAAGGGTGTAAGGCAGGGAGATACAATCTCCCCAATGCTTTTTACCGCGTGCTTACAGGAGATTTTCAAAGGTATAGAATGGGAACAGTTAGGGATAAGAGTTATGGGATAGTACCTTAGTAACCTGCGCTTCACCGATGACCTTGCATTGCTGAGCAACTGAGGCGACGAATTGCAGCTCATGATTATGGAGTTAGACAAGCAAAGCAGAAAGGTGGGCCTTGAAATTAATCTGCAGAAAATAAAAGTAATGTACAACAACCTCGGAAGAGAGCAGCGCTTTGAGATAGGTAATAGTCCATTTCATGTTGTAAAAGACTATGTCTACTTAGTGCAGGTAATAACCGCGGAGCTGAACCACGAGATTGAAGTCACTAGAAAAATAGGAATATGGTGGAGCACATTTGGCAAGTACTCTCAAACTATGACAGGTAGATTGTCACTATCCCGCAAGAGGAAACTATGTAACAGCTCTATCTGGCCGGTTCTTAGCTATGGAGCAGAAACCTGGAGACTTATAAAGAAGGTTAAGATTATATTGAGGATGACGCAGCGAGCAACGGAAAGAAAAAAAAATTGGCCCCGTATCTGCATGTTAATCTGCAAATGTCGTCGCAAGACGAAAGTCTTGCGCGTGTGTAGAGAGTGAACAAAACATATATTTGATGTTCTGCGCAAGAAATTCGGTGAATGGTACTCTGGAGGCGCTGCGTTGCCTCGAGCATGCAGCGGAGGCGAACGAGCACATCAAGTCACGCAACACGTAAAACATGAACACCATCTGGCAGTTTTCTGGGAAAAGAAAGCGCGTGGCTTTGAGGCGGCTGTGCGCGCCCGTCTGAGAGGTAATAAGGTGTAGAACGCAAGGCGAAGGGTAGGAGCCACCACCTTCTCGTCTTAGCAAAGCGTTGGAAACACTCGTCTTTTCGTGCAAGCGTTGCATGGTCAGTGCAGTGTGATAAGCGCTGCGGCCTTAGAATTACTTATGTATATCTTTTCTAGTAAAAGACGCACATGCAGAATATATACATGTGGTGGTGCACCAGAGATGCGCAATATTTGCCTTTTATTGACAACTGCACAAGTATGAACGCTAAACCTTGAGAAACATTGGTGGGCGCTGTGGATGGGGTTGGCCCTTTGAAGTACCCGATGCCGTTAAGAGTGGACAGACAAATGTACAGACACACATACATACATACATACATACATACATACATACATACATACATACATACATACATACATACATACATACATACATACATACATACATACATACATACAGACTGACTGACTGACAGACAGGCAGGCAGGCAGACAGGCATGCAGACAGGCAGACAGGCATGCAGACAGGCAGACAGACCGACAGACAGACAGACAGACAGACAGACAGACAGACGGACAGACAGACAGACCTAAATTTTTGCGTCGAATGCCCCCAAGTAAGGCTATCGTCTTTTAAATGGTAGGTGTAACCTTAAAAGACAAGAAGAGAGCAGAGTGGATTACAGAACAAACGGGGGTTAAGGATATCATAGTTGAAATTAAGAAGAGGAAAAGGACATAGGCTGGGTATGTAGCGCGTAGGCAGGATAACCACTGGTCATTAAGGGTAACTAACTGGATTCCTAGAGAAGGCAAGCAGGTTAGGGGGAGAAAGAAGGTTAGGTGGGTTGATGAGATTAAGAAGTTTGCGGGTATAAATTGGCAGCAGCAAGCGCAGGACCGAGTTAACTAGCAGAACATTAGAGAGGCCGTTGTCCTGCAGTGGATGTAGTTAGGCTGCTGCTGCTGATGATGATGGGGATGAGTGCATGTGGATGGAATAAAATAACATACTTTTTCAAAGTTTGGGACCGTAAACACCACTTTCTTTGACTTTTACGAAACACTACTGGCGTCTCAGAGTTAACGGCACTGTCGAGCGTCTGTCATTATAGATTACGTGTCATGAAATACGCCACTAGTAACGTATTATAAGGCATAACAGAATAACAGGATAAAAACTGGGGCCGTATCTGCATGTTTCAATGCAATTGTCGAAAGACATCTTGCGTCTGGAGAGAGTGAACAAAACATTTATTTGGTGTCCGCATTGGAGAATCGGTGATTTGTGTGAGAAAATCGGTGAAGCATCCGTCTTGAGGGTGGAGGCTCGTTTGGAGTTGGCCAGCCTGCTGCTTCACAGTTTGCCCACTGGTTCATCGTCAGGGTGGAGGCTCGTTTGGAGTTTGCCGGCCTGCTGCTCCACAGCTTGTACACTGGTTCATCGTTCATGGTTGCGTTGGGCGTCGCACTTGTAGCTGTTCCGGCAGCCTTTATGGCAGGTGTAGTGGCCCTCTTGGCCATGGCACTTGAGCCTTCAGCGCCCTCTTCCATGAACTCCTGCACCATTATCATGGCCATTGTCTGGCCATTCGTGTCTGCAGCCGGTACAGGCTTCCCCGTACTCGCCTTCGTTTCCCCTTCGACGGCCTGGTAGTCGTCAAGGCGGATGTTCGTTCAGGAAGCGCAGCAAGGTGGATTCCACCGAGTTCGGTAGTGTGGAGAAGACGCCCCGCACAGTCTCAGCTTCAGATGTCAAGAAAAGGGTGCCGACAAATGAGCTGGGACGGCGACGCCTTTATTATAGATGGTAGATTGTGTGGGCAACCCCCGATAAGCCCCACATCACCATCCTTTCCGGTGTGCACACAAGCGGCGATAAGACCCAGCAGCGAGAGCCTTAGCGTTTGCGGCTGGATGCAGCCATGCTTCTTACTCGGACACAACGAGCGGTGAAGGGGGAAGTGCCGGAGAACGTTTCTTGGGAGTGCTCGTGTGAGCGGTCTTTAGTCCACCGGGGCCAGGGATAATGGCACCAGCGATTGGGTTGTTCGTGAAAGTGGTTCTTCTAGATTTGTGTTTTGATTCCAGCGTAAAGTCGTTAATTGATTTTCATTTCTTCGGTATCTGCGAGAGCCTTGTATCTGGAGTAGACTCTGAACACCCCACAAGCATAAAAAAGAGAGGCGCCACTCACCTCCTCTACCAGATACGAGAATGAAGGTAAACGCCGCCAGGGACAACGTCCAGAGAATACGATCCCAGAAGGCCAGCGACACCTTTGCCAGCTCACTGTGCTTAGTGCCGCGTGTCCACTCGAAACGATAAAGCACGCAGGCTGTGGCACAGCTGATGACGACGGCCCAGAGCATCGCCTGGACACCCTGCGTAGGCCTACTGTATTTGAATATGGCATTGTAAGCTGATCTAATATCCATAAATAGCAATGTTACTTCGAATGTGCGAGCTCCTTCATAGCTGCCCCCTGCTATTGTAACCCATAGTTAACTGAAAGTTAATGGTTAACTTTCACGAGCAACCCGCGAAACATAACAAGGTTCTAAGAAAACACTTTAACATATTGGAGCAAAGCTTGCGACTATCAAAAATTTTCACTTTTCCTCCTTTTGTGGTATACAGACGGCCGAAAAATATAACGGATCATTTAATAACTTCAAAGATAGGCGTGAAATCTCTAATTGGGTGTCACCCTTGCGGAAAAAGCAGTTGAAAGGAATGCAAACACATGCAGATAACGACAGTGGCAAAAAGCACCCATTTGGATTTTAAGCACAGGATAAGAGGTGCACTAGACTGTGACTCAGACAACGCCATATACCTCCTGGAATGTGGGGTATGTAACAAGCAATACGTGGGCCAGACAGACACTCCGTTCAGAATTAGATTCAACATTCATCGGGCACATGTATGATCCCTGCTAGGCCTTCCACTTTCAAAACACAGCACATTAAAAGACCACAGCTTTGATGACATCAGGGTTACACTATTAGAAAACAACTTTCGAACAATCCAAGAAGAGGAACAACGGGAATGTTATTTTATCTACAAATTTAACAAGATAAAATACGGAATAAATGAACACCAAGGCACACTGTCAGCGTTACGACCGCTAAAAGACGCAAACGCTTCTCTCTAATCAGTCCGTTCTCATTACGACAATACTATTAACCGCTAACAAAGCTTTTAGCCTATGCATCTGACAACATAGAAACAATTTGCCTCATCAAGCACAGCCTGAACGCACAGATAAGTGGTCCCTGATGTCGTATAGTCCACCCCCCCCTCTTTTCTTTTCTTTTTTTCTTCTTTAATTTTTAACGCACATTTTCTGTTCCTCCACTGACAAGGAGCCATTGCATATAATGAATATCGATGGCGGCGCCTCAATTACGGGCTTTTTCATTCCTCCCGACGCCACCAGCACGCACTCGTAGCGCTTAAGCTCTCCCTATTAACTTGTCTTAAACTTCTAAGAGGAACGAGCCGCCAGCAGACTACACGGGAAGGTGAAGTACAAGAACGGCGGCACACTGCCCGCTTGGGGAATAGTGGGTGCAGGGGAGGTATTGTTGACAACGATGGCATTGCTCATCTACCTCTGCCCCACTCTGTTGAGATGCTGCCGCTTTCTAATTACGCTGTGTCGGTCTTGCTTCTCCTCCTAGATTTTCTATATTTATTTATTGTTTCTCCTCCCGTTTCGCTGTTTCTTTTTCTTTTTACTTTTTTTGATCCCTCCCCTCCTGTCTCGACAGGTTATAAGAAGACACCGAACATGTGTAAATATTATTATGCCTTGAAAAAGACGGGGCTCCCGTTGAAACGTTGGCAGAATAAACAGTTGATATGTGAAAGCGCATCTACTTTCATATTTATAACCTTGCGGCAACCGAAGTTATTCTTCCATATATATATATATATATATATATATATATATATATATATATATATATATATATATATGTCACAAATGCCTTTTACATGCCCACAATCTTGTCTATTGTATTAGATTTTAATGGTTTTTAGTGTAGTCACGGCTGTTTCAAAGAATTTTTGTGACACTCACATGCTGATCGCACGTGTTTTGTACTGACGTGTTCATGCCTGCCCATAAAAGCGGCCACATACTCGTATTTCTGTTAATCCTGACGAAGGCCGTGCCACGGCTGAAACGTAAAGTAAACAATTATCATATTTTCGTAAGTGTGCTCCTTTATTCCTAATTATATGTGCACCGGACCCACAGAATTTCTTTCTTGAATCATATATATATATATATATATATATATATATATATATATATATATATATATATATATATATATATATATATATATATATATTTATATATACATATATATAGACACGCAGCGCCTCTTTCAGGATGTATTCGATGTATTCGGCTGCCCGGCCGGTGGCTCATCAGAGCTGCTTACTGCTACATAGCTCATCGCAGTTACATAGATCGGTGACATTCGCCTATAGCAGCTCCTGCGAAGCATGCACCAGCTCTTTGTCAGGCCCTCCACTCCTCAATAGGAAATGTTCTTGAGTGAGATGTTCCAGCGCTTACTGCAGAGCATGGTCGTAGTCCTTCTGGTTGCAGGAGATGTCCATTAGACACGCTCCCTAAAATCGCTGATCCGGTGACCAACTACTCACGGAGGCAGAGCTTCAATGCCATTCCTACACCTACACCGGCCACCACTGCCAAACGCACCCTTGCAAGCATCAAGAACAATTTGGACGCACTTGTCAGGCGTCTCGATGACTTACTACCTTCGCATCACCGATGGTCATCCAGCTTCTTTTAGTGACATATTGCTCATCAACGTCATTACGCTCTCCACGACTTTGGCCAACCGACGCGCCGCGTGACGACTCTTCCTCGACTATGTGCTGCTCCACCACCATTGCAGCTCCTCTGCTTGAAAGTGGGTTCACCCGTGCGCCAGGTCGGGGAATGCGACAACCGGCCACTAACGGCGGCAAGTGGTACTGGTCGAAACGCGTGCCACATTTTCTGTTTCTGATAAGATTACTGGCGTTCACTTCCTAGTCGACACAAGGCCACAGGTTAGCGTCATATTGGCCTCGTGTCCATATCGCCGTCGTAATGAACAGACTTACCTACTCCAAGCGATCAACAATTCCGCCATTCGCACATATTGATATGTTGAGTTTAACGTTCCAAAACCACCATATGATTATGCGAGACGCCATAATGGAGGGCTCCGGAAGTTTTGACCACCTGGGGTTCTTTAACGTGCACCAAAATCTGAGCACACAGGCCTACAACAATTCCACCTCCATCGGAAATGCAGCCGCCGCAGCCGGGATTCGATCCCGCGACCTGCGGTTCAGCCGAGTACCTAGCGGGGCATTCGCACATACAGCCAATGGTCTTTTAACTTGACCTTGGACTACGCTGTACGTTTAGCTGGATTTTCCTCCTCGCTGACGCCTCACAAGCTGTTCATTGGGCTGACATCCTCAGTTTTTTCACCTCGTTGTGAACATGCATGCTCATCACCTCATCGATTTGAACACGCACTTTTAAATCGAGGGTATACTCCACACTTCACCGTCAATGGGACTCGGAGCTCTAGTCCACGCTTCACCGTATGCAAAAATACTCGCTGCATTAGCCCCACACCAAAGAGTCACCGGTGAATCATTCCATTGCTCGCCACATTGTCATCAGTGGACCTCGCTTTATTACGCGGCCACGTCGAGTACCTGGAGAACGCCTCGCCATCGCCCACTGTGAGTTTGAGCACGTGGTTGAGCATAAAAACGCACAGCCTATTTCAAGAAACTGGGCTTAAGCACTCCACATGGTGGTGAAGAAAGAACCTGGCGACTGAAGACCATGTGGAGATTACCATGCTCTCAACGCCCACACCTTACTAGACTGCTATACCACGTCCCTACATGCAGGACTACACATAAAATGTGGCTGCATGAATGATGTTCTCTAAGATTGGCTTAGTGAATGCCTACCACCAGATTCCTATAGAACCCGCCAACATTCCGAAAACGGCCATCACCGGCACATTTAATCTGAATACGAAAGGATGTCTTTTGGATGGCGGAGCACTGCACAAACTTTTCAGCGCACTGTCAACGAGGTCGTGCGAAGTCTTGATTTAGTATTTGCTTACCTTGATGACCTTGTTGTCGCAAGCTCATCCAACCCTGAACATGAAGCCCACCTGTGCACCCTGTTCCACTGCCTGGATGAGTTTGGCCTCATAAACAATCTTAATAAGTGCCTCTTCGGATTCGAAATCATCGAGTTCTAAGGCCACCTTTACAATACTCACGTTATTCAACCACTCGCCAGCAAAGTGAAAGCAATTCAAGACTTTCAAAGCCTAACTTTACTGAAAAAGACTCCTAGAATTCTTTGGCCTATTAAACTTCTCACGCCACTTTCTGTAAGGCACATTTATTAAGCCTTTGACTTAACTACTAGCTAAAAAGAGACCTGGCCGTCCAGATTGAGGATGCTGAATCTGCCTTTGTCACTGCCAAGAAGGCTCTGACAGACGCGGCCATTCTAAAACATACCGTTTCTGATGCACCAATCCGTGTAATGACTGAAGCATTTAGCGCAGCAGTACGCGCCGTCCTCGAGCGGCACGTATCCGGTTGGCAGCCTCTTGATTTTTTGTCACCAGAATTGAAGCCACGGAAACAAAAATACAGTACATTTGCCTGAGAACTCCTTGCTGTGTACTTCGCCATGAAGCATTTTTGTCATTTATTGGAAGCCGGGACATTTACGTCGTTACAGGCTGTAACCCCCTGACATTTGCCTTCCATCGCAATCACAGTAGGCAGACCCTTTAACTATGCTTTAACTCCGAATTTACCGTGGATATCAGACCATGGCTGGCGAGATAAGCCGTTTCTACAGCCGTCTCTTTTTGCGTGCCGCTCAGAGGAGAACGGTAATTTTGTCGCCTCCTGACGGCACTGCTAGATGAAGGTCTTTTCCCATTAATCAAGCGGCACCCATCTGAATTGGCCGGCGTGCAATTTTGGTGATTTCAGTGACAAAAACAACCGTTTTGACGTGGCGTTATCTATTTCAGACAAGTTATGATCCAACAGTCAACGCACATCGCCTTGCTGCAGCTACAAAGAAGCTTTGTTACGTTATTCAAAAGTTATTCCTTTCGCATGCAACTTTAGTGGTTGTTTAAAAGTTGATTAGGAAAACAAAGGCTGCCAGCGCGGAAGATTACATCTAGATTTCATGTAAGCTTGCCGAACGGTGTTTTCTAAGTTGTCGTGAAATATTACAACGCGTGGGTATGCTTTTTAATCATTTCAAAGCAACTATGAACGTACTGTG